TCAAATTACCTAACTTTTCTGTGCCTCAGTTTCTTCACCTGTAACTAAGGAAAAAGAACAGTTCTTCATAGTGTTGTTTTGAGATGGTGCCTGAAACAGAATACACGCTATATAAATTCTAGTTATCCTTACTTATTAAACATCTGCATGTGCCAAGCAATATAATACAGGGCAGAAAGCAGGAACAGCTATGAACAACCTACCATAAATATATAATGTCAGGGGTGATAAGTACCTGAGGAAAAATAAAGCAGAGTAAAAGTATAGTGAATGCAGAGAACAAGGTGTTATTTTTATATAGCGAGGTCAGAGTAGCCTCTTGGATAAAGACATTTTTTGAACACAGACCTAAAGAAAGTGAAAGCAAGGAACGTGAATGCCTGGGACAATGGGAAGCCGAGGTAGTGGGACAATGAAGTTCCCAGGCCCTGATGTAGAGGTGTACTGGATAGGAGAGGGAGGAGCACGGGCGGCTGAGCAGACAGAATCAGGCAGAGGGTGGTAGCAGAGGAAGTCAGAGGCCGAGGGAATCAGGGAAGGTTCAGCCATGGAGGACCTTGCTGGCCAGGTTAGAGACTGTGGACTTTGGTCTGGGTGAGACAGGAAGTCACTGGAGAGCTCTGACTGAGCAATGCCATGAGTCGGGAAAACAGGAGCCTGCTGCACTGGTAGAGACCACAGACAATGGTGTCTTGGACAGAGCAGCTGGGAGAGAACTAGTTCAATAACCCTAATACGCCTCTCCACTCTGCATTTTCCCTAAAAATGTACCTTTAACTCTGATTTACTGAACACCTACTAAGCAAGGTATTGACCTGGACCACTGTACAGACATTATCTTTTACCCTAATGCTGCAGACCCTCAGATAAAATGTAATAAAATCAGGATATTAAAGCTCCAAGAATTTCTGAAGTCGATTATAATTATATTATTTTATAGATGGAGAGTTCAAACTCCAGAGAGATGAAATGATTTGCTCAAGATCATACAGCTAGTTAGGTCAAGAAAAGGACCTGGGACTCAGTTTTCTTTACTTTATAAAAGCATATATTCGAATCAGTGTTTTATGGAATTACAAAAATAACTTATTTCAAGGATTTCCCTTTTCCCATTCTGATGTAAAAATAACAGCAAAACTTCTCTCAAACATGTTCTCATTAGGTTAATATTTAAGAGTGTCATTTCTAAAGTGAGTATTTTTTAAGTTTCTAAAAGGAGTATTTAAAAAAAACCAAAAAACAAAAACAGGGTTTTGCTGTGTTGCCCAGGCTGGTCTCAATTTCTTGGTTCAAACAATCCTCCTACCTCAGCCTCCCAAACAGCTGGGACTACAGGCATGTGCTACCATATCCAGCTAAAATGTGAATTTTTGAATTTTTTAAAAATTACTGTTTCCTTTAGGAAGTCTATATAAACAACTATTGCCTTAATCAATTGGCAGTTCTGCAAATCTATCATTGATATAAATACCACCAACTTTCTGTAATTACTTTAGTATGCCAATCTCTTACCAAAATAACTCCTGTAGATTAAAAACAGTATTTATCAGGTTCAGAAATGGCCCCAGTCTACCTTAGCAATAATCAGCAATTATAACAACTTAATATACTATCTGTTCCCAAGTAAAGGAGAATATAGCATAGAGTTATTCTTGGGAGTTAAAATAAAGGGACTAGAACTGCAAAGGATGTTTTATTTTTAAAGTAAATTGGAAGCTTCGTTTAGGATATTTTCAACTACCACATTTTCTTAATTTTATAAAACTCAGAGACATTAAGAAAGAAAGAAATCTGGTTGAGGATAAGGCAAATGTTGATAAGAATCCTCTGACTTGTGTCCTCTCTAAGTAACGAGGTGAATAGCTTGTTATGAAATCCTTTTCTCCCCTTCCTCCAAATCTGTGTTTGTATCTCAATTTTGGCACTCCACAGTTTCCACTATACTTAAGTCTTAAGTCTACTCCTAGTACCATAAAGCAGGATGTTAGCTTTCTTTTTTCTTTCCATTTTATTTTTTATTTTTGAGACGGAGTCTCACTCTGTCGCCCAGGCTAAAGTGCAGTGGCTCAATCTCGCTCACTGCAACCTCTGCCACCCTGGTTCTAACAATTCTCCTGCCTCAGCCTCCCAAGTAGCTGGGATTACAGGCTCCTGCCACCGTGCCCAGCTAATTTTTGTATTTTTTTTTTTTTTTTTTAGTAGAGATGGGGTTTCACCAGATTGGCTGGGCTGCTCTTGAACTCTTGACCTCGTGATCTACCCACCTGGGCCTCCCAAAGTGCTGGGATTACAGGTGTGAGCCACCATGCCCAGCCAGCTTTCTTTTTTCTAGGAAAAGTTAGAAGAGATTTTAAGGCTATGAGGAGCTAAGATGTACTCCTGTCCTAGCAAGAACATTCTGTGAAATTGACTGGTGGGCAGTGAAGCTTGTTCCTGAGATCAGCAATAGAGTTTCTTGTAACGTAGTAAGTGTGAAAATAGCTATTTCCCAATCATCTTGTTCATTCCACACACATTAGGGAAGAGGAAAATTCAACTGAGGGCCAATTCTCCCCTAAGAATCCTTTAGTTTAATTATGACCACAGTACATTAAATGTCTGTAAGACAACCATGTTAGCTCTGCTGCTCCTGACTGCAGTGGTGGAAGAGAGGAAATCCTTTCATTGCTAAAAAGACAGGGAAGGATGCCTTTTCGGGTAGAAAACATGGCTGAAAATTCAATTTAACTGAACACCAGGCCACTGTGCTTCTTGTAAATGAACATCTTTTTGCTGCTAATTTTGTGCTATTTTACCTTTCATTAAAAAAAGTAATTCAAGTTAAACTCAGCTGAACAGCAAAAAGCTCTTCATATTTTGAAGCATTTTGGAACAATTACTTTGACGGAAGCCCTTGACAGTTAAATGACTCCGTTAAATGAATGTTATAGAAGTCACATAATGATTTTTAGTGAAATATTGAATTTAACCACAAATGAGGAAAAACCAGTCATAAGCGCTATGGCTATATTTGAATAACATCTTGCTTATGAAGCTGAATGAATTCTATAATTTTTAATAATCAGGCAATCAACTAGTTAGCTGGTGGGTATGTTTCCCATCTTGGTGCTCTCTATTCATTTTTTATTTTTGCTTTTATTGTTGTTTTTTTAATCTGAGAAGCCATTAAGAAAATTTCAAAACTAGCAAGAATTTTCTCTTAAATTGGTACAGTATTTTACAGTTAGATAATTAATGAGTTGCTGTCCCACAAGTGAAGTCCTCCTCTTTCCTTTTTCTCATTTGCTGAATGAGATTCTTTCACAAAGTAAAAAAGCAACAAAAGTCAAGAACATGCTGCCTGAGAAGTGTGAATTCAGTGTATGCCAGTGCTTCCTGCATCTGTGGGACTCAATATTCCTTTTCTTATTTTATGGATCAAATGTGAGATAGTATCAAGGCTTTTTGCATGTTTTCTCATGACTAATAACTGAAATATGTACTGAAATAATAAAACTGGTACTGTTCAATTTCCTTTTTAAATTCAATTCCAATATAAGTGAGAGTTATTTTGATGGTAAAATCTGACTTATAAAATTCTGTTTTCTGGAGAAGGAGAGGAGCTAGAAATCCCTGTAGACTCAAACCGTGTGAGTTGTGAGTGGGTAGGGACATTTGGACTGAAAAAATGAGTCAGAAAAAAAGAATGTTCTTGTTTGTCTGGCAAGCTGGGGTGAAAGTCGATGCTAAACATACTGAGTGGTATAACTTGGATCTCTACCCACTGCGTGCGGTTGCATTTCCTGATTCTTCCAAGCAGGTGAGGCACAACTGTCTCCATGTTCTCACTACTCCCTGCATTTATCTTCATCATCAGCAACTGTCGATTTATACTTTAATTGCCTATTTACATGTCTGCTCCCCAGTAAAAGGTCACTCCCTAAGAACAGGGAATATCTTTTCATCTTGCATCCCCCAACATTTCTCAGTTCAGATTAAGCTGTCCAATAAATGTATTTTTTAACTAGTAAACTTTTAACCTCTTTGGTTGACAGTGAAAATACATGGAAAAGGCCAGATATTTTAAATATAAATACTAAAGTCCAGATACACAACAAGCTGCTTAAAGTAGCTATTACCTATAATCTTGCTACTCAAAGCGTGGTCCACAGTTCAGTAGCAGCAGCAGCATCTGGGAGCTTCATACATCCAGAATTTCAGGCCCTGCCTTAGACCTTCTGAGTCAGAATGCATTACAAGATCCCCAGATAACGCTATGCACAGTGAAGTCTGAGAAGCATTTACCTATAACATATGATAGCAGGATGTCTGAAGAAGTGATGGGTACATAATGGAGAAGAAATAAGGTCAGGGATTCTGATTAATACAGAAGTCTACTGAGAAAGTTTTAGAGCTCCCAGGACAGAGTCACTCAATGCTCACAGGTGGGAAACTCGCTCCTACCAGTTCCCTTGGAACCCCTTCTAGACACTTCTTCACAACTCTTTCCTGTTTAAAGACAGAGCTGCTCTTAAAAATGATCTTTTCTCCTTGGTGCAAAGAGAGCATTTATCGTCAGCATGCTGACATTTCCAGGAGTTTTGGCTTCCTCCACTGAAAATGTGGATGATCGAAAGGATATTGCTGACACCTGAATAAGAAATCCAATGACTCCAAGCTATGTAAATTTAATTATTTCCTTTAATTTTTTTTCAGGAGTCTTTTTTCTTTTCCTGAGCTTTGGAGAAGTCCTGGCAATTTTCATTTAAAAGAAATACAAGTCAGCAGTGGTTCACTGAACAGGCTGACACGTAATTTCATAGGGGGAGAGGCGCTCTGTCTTTAATCTAATTTGTGCTCTCAATTCCCAGCTAATGTATCTAGGGATCCTGATGTATGCATTTACAAGGAGACATCTGTAATGCAGAGTCCAGCTCTCTGCAATTCTCTGAAACATGGGTAAAAAATTAGTCTGGGCTCTTGCAGCTGCCCTACAACACGATAAATCTCTATATACTCACAGATGTAGAAATATTCTCGGCCTGGCCTGAATTCAAATCCTAGAGAAAAGGGAGTGAAGAGCTGGAATTTTTCAGAGAACTTCAGCGGTCCATTTGGAGAGTGAGGCCGGTTACATTCCCATCTCTTGAACCCTTTGGAAGTGTGGTCGCAGGCACTGTAGCCATCAAAGTTCACCATGTAGAGGACATAGCGCTCAGTCTTATCTTCTGGGACGGAGTCCTCATAGTGAGGGCAGAAAACGTCCAGGTAGTCATTGATACAGACATCAATGTGGTAGTCACCCCTCTGGAATCTGTTAGAAAAAGAAAAAACATGTGATAATTCATAGAGAAGGGGCTTTCTGCTTGGAATCAGTGGTTAAGCTATTCGATAATTCTGGAGCTAAAGCATCTAGTATAGTAAGTTGTTACTGAATGCCACTATGATTTGGGGCATGGTTTGAAATGCTGCAGTTCCCAATCCAAGCCACAAAAAGCCATTTTACAGAGGGATCCCATTATATTTGTTTCAAAATATCCTACAAACTAAGTGCTTTGCTTTCATTTTAAATATTATATTAAATATCACTCTTTCAAACTGTGGAACTCTATAGAGGTACTAATGTGCTGTTTTCCATGTTTCATTATTAAAAATCATATATTAAAACAAAGTTCTTCTATTTTTATAATAGTGTTTCACTTAATAACTATTTTTGAATAAATGAATGAGGAAATTAAAGAACAAATAAATGACTGAATTGTTTTTTGTTATAGTTGAGGCCATTTTCCACTTTCTATGCAAATGAGAATTAGAGCCATAAAATTGGGAGAATTCGAATCACAACATTTTACAGTTAGAAAGAAAATTCCTAAAACACTTCCATTTTAGAGAAAAATAAAAAGACATAAAGATGAAGCAGTGAGTGATGGAGCGAAACCTAGTGTGGAGACTTCGGATCCCAGTTCAGTGCTTTTCTTAGATCTGCTACGTCAGAAACTTATTTTAGTGCATCTCGCTTTCGATGCAGCATCTTTTCCATATTGAGAAAACAACTCATCTAAATCAAATGACTTTTCCCCTCATTTCTTTTAATTCTACAGGTCATGTTCTAGAGCTGGGCTGGTGAGTAATGAAAAGTAACAAGGCCATTGAAAATAGCCAAAGCCATGGCAAATTCATCCTAGTTAAAAATGTACACATGTGAATACACACCCTCCCCACCACAAACACCACACTATCTGCTTCAATTCTCATCTCACAAAAGTCTTGCTTATCTGCTTTAACTAATGTGTCTTTCCCCAGCAGTTGAACAGTATTTCCCAAAACACAGCGATGTGTGAAACAGGAGCTGTTATGCATACAACTTTCTTAGTCTAAAATCATGGTGGCAAAGCCTACAAAACTCCTTTGTTTTTAGCTGGTGAGGAAATTCTTCTCTGAGCCCTTAGAAGTTTCATCATAAAACTGTTACTGCTGAAAAGCAATGCTCATAAAGCCATATAATCTCTGAGCTGGACAGTCTGAGCGTGAACACTTCCCAGTGGCAGTGAGACAGTCTATTCCATTTTTGGACATCTCTAAATGTTGGAAAGTTTCTTCTTATATTCAGCATAAATCCGCTTCTGTGTAATTTCTACCCAATGGTCCTACTTCTGCTGCCTGGAATTACAAAGAACAAATCAAATTCCTCTTCTGCAAGGGAGTCCATAAAACATTTGAAGATGTCAGCTATATCTCTCTGTATCTTCCTTTCTGCAGACATTTGAAAATCTTGATTCCTTTGGTTCTTTCTAGTATAGTTCCCAGGCTCCTCATCATTCTAGATTCTTGCCCTTTCTCATAGCCTCCAGTTTCCCAGTATATTCCCTATAAAATGCTGCACCCGAACATTGACATAAAAACGACCTCTCACAGCTTTGACCAAAGTCCACCCCAGGACTTCTAGCCGGGTACAGTGGCTCACCCCTGTAATCCCAGCACTTTGGGAGGCCGAGGCAGGCAGATCACTTGAGTCCAGGAGTTTGAGACCAGCCTGGCCAACACGGCGAAACCCTGTCTCTACTAATAATACAAAAAATATTACCCAGGCATGGTGGCACATGCCTGTAATCCCAGCTACTTGGAAGGCTGAGGCACAAGAACCGCACAAACCTGGAAGACGGAGGTTGCAGTGAGCTGAGATCGCACCACTGCACTCCAGCCTGGGTGACAGAGTAAGACTCAATCTCAAAAAAGAAAAAAGAAAGAAATATACCACTTTCACTCTGGATGCTAAATATTCATTGATAAGCCAAGATACTCTTCTGAGAGACAACATTGTGAAAAAGTGGTGACACCATTCGTTTTGACTGAGTAGACCTAGATTTAAGAACTGGATCTGCTGTTGGTTGAGAGATTCATAAATCATTCTGAGCCTCAGTTTCCTCATATGTAAGTTGGACTAATCATGAGAACCTGCCTTCCTGGCCTCCTGTGGCTGCTTCAAGACTTAGATAAGGAAATGTATGGAAAGAACTGTGTAGATGTAAACCACTGTTACCATCATCAGGATATACCGAAGCATATGAAAATAAGTAAATAAAATATTGACTTAAAAATGATAGCAGTAAGAACATACAACAGAGATAAAAATAATATCTATATTTCCCCTTTTAAAAATTCAAAAGGAAAATCATATAGAAATGTTAAATTCTGTCCTTAAATGTCAAATGATCCATCGAAACTCCACTTGACCCTTGCTCTTGAAAAGCAGCATGCTGATTTACACAAGAGAAATAAGGAAAAATTCTCAGAATATTCACTTTTCAGCTAGAGGATCCCAAAATACATAACCATTTTTTTTTAAAAAAACCGAAAACACTCGAAAGTATTTATATTTGCAGTGATCACGGGTTTACTTTTTCTTCATTACTAGCAGACAACGATTTGTCAAGATGCAAGGAAAGCCTGTGTTGCTTTTAAAAGATTTTTGAACATCAAGGTAACATCACTGCCAAAGTACAGAGAAAAGACACTGCAAGGTTCAGATAAAAGGGTGCTGGGATATGAAGCATCAGCACTCAGAGTAGCCTGACAGTTTTGGATAACAGCCAGACAAGAACTGCAGCAGAAGGCAATGCCCAGATGCACTTTATATTATTATATTATTATTATAGATTTTAAAGAGATTCAAGGGGGAAGTTTTTTCTTTCCCTAAGTGTCACTCATTTTAGCTTCTACTAGCATTTGGCACTGCTCAAAGTGAAAGTAAAAATTAAAACTGCCATTGTCTGGACCCATTCTGCTACTCCTTTATTCTACAATTCCTTTATTCCACAACTGAAAACAAAAAAGGCAGTTTCCTGATGCCTAAAACTTTTCTCTCCTTTCCTAACTTTTATCCCTGTTAATGTGCTAAATTTTTACTAAAGCAAACTGTGAGGTTGAAGACACATTCTACTTTGTGTTGACCAGCTATCCCTTCTGGTGACATTTTATTTTGCATGGAGTGTTAAGTGAATTACTGTGGTACCTATTTTAAACATGTGATTGCTCCAGAAATTACTATTTCTTTTTCTTATGATTTATTAAACATTTTCTTTCTCTAGCTTACTTGATTATGAGAATACAGTTATATATGTTATACATATAAAATGTTGTTAATTGAACTGTAATTCAATGGGAAGGCTTCCAAGCAAATAGGCTATTAGTAGCTAAGGTTTCTTCAGAGTCAAAAGTATATGTGTGATTTTCACTAATACAGGTCAGTGACTACTCCCACATTGTCAGGATAAACGTCGATATTATAGTGTACTCTTTATCGGCAAGATACATTGGTTACCACATTGTATCCAAATTTGGCAGTAGACTGGTTCAGATCAATGTGCATGATATATTTAAAGCGTATTTTAGTTAATTTAAAATAAAATTCAGCATGGCAACTAGTCCTTTGCAATCATCTCAACTGCCAAACAAAATCTTATGTCACTCTTACAGGACGCGTCCTCTTGACTGAACCAGAGGCCCACTGGAGCACTGGATAAAAACGCACATTTCCAGGGCATTGAAACAGCAAGTAACAACTGAAGCTGGGATTACGGCTGAAAATGTGCTTCTGAAAGTGGTCGTTTTGTTCTCAGTGTTTACCTATGAATTCCATCTGTAAATGCGAATAAATTTTAATTTTCAATTTAAAGCCACGTTCAATATCCTCTCCTTAGCTGAGCATGGTGGCTGATACCTCATAATACCCTACTGGACTTGGAAAGCTGAAGTGGGAGGATCACTTGATGCCCGGAGCTTGAGACCAGCCTGGGAATACGTGGACTCCATTCATCATAAACATTTTTTTTTTTTTAATTAGCCAGGCAAGTGGTGGTGATCTGTGTAGCTCCCAGCTACTCAGGAGGTTGATGGCAGGATTCGCATGAGCCCAGAGGGCAGAGGTTGTAGCTGAACCGAGATTGGTGCCACTGCACTCCAGCTGGGCAACAGAGCAAGACCCTGTTCAAAAAAAGAAAAAATAATTGCTCCCTGTACTGGAGACCTGTCCTGCAAGAAGTAAGTCATGCACTTGAGTCTCAAGAATCAGATGAAAGTTAACAGACAAGAGAAGGTGAGGTAACAGTTGATAACTACTTTTCATTTGATCTCACAGCTCCTTCTACTTGAGTGAGCGAAGCCAAGCACTGTTTGATGGGGGACATTAGGTACCTAAGCCATAAGGCTTTAGGTCCTCCAAAGTACTTCATTTCAAACCTGGTGACCTGCAAAAGGTACATCACTACTATAAATAGTCCTAGGTCCTTTACGAGTTCAAGTGTAAGTTCTCAATGTACTCTGACCCTGTCTCTTGGCTTCCTCTTTACCTAAGGTAAGTAGATATCACCTCACCTTTCTTCCTTATGATTTCATGGTGCTGATCTGACTTCCTCCTCAACACCACACTCTAGTATTTGGTGGATATTGACAGCTGGGGAGGCCACATTGAAAGGACACTCAGGCAGTGCCCTGGCCTTCAGGCTGCAGAGGAGCAGCACCCTAATCCTCCTTCTCCTGAGTTTCATCTTTAGCCACTTTGCCCTGCAGTATTCCCCTTTTATTCCATCCCTCATTTGCTAAAGCCAAAATGCATTTCATTTTAGTAGTCTGAAAGGAAGGGTAGTGCATATTTAAAAATGTTCTAAATTGGCTTTTAGCATATGTTGCTGGCACAGCAAGAGAGCCTGCTTCCAGGGGAAATTACGTACGGAGGTATTTTATCAAGCAGCTCCCGAGTGAAGTTTCTCTCACTCCATAAATATAGAAACAGCATTACTGAAGGAGACGAGTGTT